GTCTACATGATAGAGTAGTAGTTATCTATTGTAGACTTTAATTAATATAATATTGTTATTTTTTACATTCCTTTTTGTAAGTTCTTATTGTTATTAATCTCCCTTAGAGTTATTGTACTCGCCCATGTTTTCGTCAAAATATTTTCTAAAACTTGTAAGTTCAAACCGCCGGCCAGTAAATCTAAAGTTGCTAATACTATTTGAAAATAGATAAACCCTCGTTACAACAGAAAAAATGTGTAAAAAATTCAATATATTAAAAATGCTTTAAAGGTAGTAAGTAGCGTCATGTGTGCACTGTAAAGTGTTTGCATTATTATGTGGTCATATCAAATTTAATATGCTTTACAATTAATTTCAATAAACTTTTAAAATATATACCTAATGTTAAATCACCTAAATGTTTGTGTAGCTTCCAAACAGCGGCTCAAGCAAGTGGCAAATATCGTATGCTGTTGCCAGTGTTTTAGTAGGTTTTGCTTTTTTTATTATTAACACTATAGGGCTTCCTTTGTTTTGATTGTTGTATGTAAAATTGTTTTTATTTTATAATTTTTTTTACGTAACATGTAAATAAAATAATTTCAGAGAAAGGCGAATGTGAAAAAAATCCTGATGGTTCATGTTTGTAACAACGAGGTAACCTAACCTAATAATTAGTTATATAATATATTTTATAGGTAAAATAATATTTATTAGTATACAGGTTGATTAACTTATCGTGAACCACTCAATATCTCACTGGGTTTAATACAAAATTTTACATAGTGTTTTTATGCAATGTGATCTAAATTTTTCCCCTTTTTTTTGTTTTTACCCCGCCTTTCAACTTTGTTTTTTTGATAGCAACTTTTAAAACTTAAGTGGTAACGCATACATTTAATTAACTTTTTAAATCGAGAATAATGTACTATACATTTTTATTGGTCGATAACCAGTTTTGGATAACTATTGAAGTGATAAGTTATTGAAGTTTCAAGTTCAGGGTATGAGGAAACGTGGAGTCAATCATTATTTTTATCTGCGTGCATTTTCCAAAAGCACATCCCCTCCCATTATAGGTTTTAAACTCTTATAACATCATGATAAGTACAACGGATTTACTTTATGTAAAATTGTTTTTATTACACTATGGTGCTAGTGACTAGTTTGGTAGTCAAATCATCAGAAACAGCCGGGTGAATAAGCAGGCTTATTATATGAAAATATAAAACAATGTTATGTATGCATAACGTAAAGTTCTTTATTTAAAAATGAAGTTAAAATCTTTATTATTGAAAAACCCCAAATAATATTATGATGATAAACACACAAGCAAACAAATAATAATGTCTTCAATAAGTTTATTGTTAAATTCTGTTAAAAAATTGTTTATCTTTTTAGGATCCAAAAGTGTCGTTGAAAAATCCAGTTGCATTACATACAATATAGAATAATATTCTTATTAAATTGTTTTATCTTTTACTAAACCAAAATTATATATTTCACTGAATCATAATAAAATTATAATACCTGTGGCCAATTAAAATATCTTGTTTTTTATTATTTACCTAGCAATACATAAAATACATGAATTCACCAATTGAAAAATGATTTGTTATTTAGAATAAACTGATTAATTTTTGTAGGTGCGTTTTAAATAGTGTGTTTCAACAAATAAGATAACATCCTAATATTATCACACTCTTTTTGTAATTTGGTTTGAAAGTTCGCTTTTCGTTGTGTCTGCTAAGCGACAAATGGATACTATAAATCAGACATTGGTGCTCAAAATTGGTAATCTTATAAAATCACAAACAAGTAGATGAACTATCTGAAACAAATCTACTTAAATTAATTTAACTTAAAAGTTTAAAAAAAAAAAAAATATTGGTGCACAAAATTGCTAATCTGATAAATTTACAAACTAGTTGATTAACTATCTGATTCAATATAATTAAATTAATTTTACTTAACAAAAATAATACATAGTGTAGTCGTATTTTGTTTGATTCAAAAAATTAAGAATTTTTACTTTTTAAATAACATATTATAACTAAAAAATTACAAAAATGTCAAAAAATTTATTATTATAATAAATAAATAAAAAAATAGTATACCTTTTCGATCTTGTATCATAACTTTGATATTTATCTACGCCATGACAAGCATCAACTATAAGTACAGACTAAAAGGAAGTATACAGCGTTTGCTTAAAATTATGACAGTATTAGGGATTTGAACTGTAGAAGGTATTTTGATAAATAAATAGAACCATAAGGTTGTTCTTTAAAAACTATTTCGCTATTGCAAAAACATAAACTGAGTATAACATAAAATTAATCTGGCCAGAGGTTAAGCTTAAGAGACCATGTACAGAAGGGGTGGGATAACTTATAAACTAATAATTTGTTATAAATGAATATAAAGTATATATATATATATATGTATCTAGCCTGAAACTCCGCCGCTGACTGTAGGTTTTTGATGAATCTCCACTGATCCAGGGGTGATCCGGTGAAATAAACGGTATTAAGTAGAACCACACTCGGTAGCCGGCAAAGGAAACGGATTTAATCGGTAAGATGAAGTGCGTAAGTATACAAAAAACAAAGCGAAACAGTGCAGCTGCAGTAACAGTAGTAGTAATAGTCGGTAGCAGTGATGGGCACTGCGGTGGTGTGGGAAGTTGGAATAGGAAATGGTTTCTAGTAGAGTGGTATGGAACACGGAAAGAGATAAAACAGAGCAATTCGGGGGCATCGGAAGAGCCGTTGAGGAGAGAAGAGATGAAAGACACGTCAGCCTTGACACGACGGGAAGTTAATGTAGGAATATTGAGCGCTGAGCGGATAAGAGAGCAGTCATGTTGATGATGTTTTATTTTTAAAATAAATTCAGCAAAGGCCAGAAATTTGTTTTGAACTTACTCGATGCGCACCTGGTCCCGCAATAGGCATGAGTGCCAAGCTGCTACTGCATATTCAAGAATAGAACATACTAAGCTGAAATAAAGGACGCAAAGACATGAGCTTAAGGAGAAGTTGAAAGGATTACGTTTGATAAAACCCAGAATTTTAAGTGCTCTATAAGATTGTTTACCACTAATCCCGAGGTCTGTACACTGTAAGTGTACTTCAATATCAGTCATAAAAAAATATGTACTATTACACTTAGAGTATCTTACAAATATTTTCAATTATTTCTAAACGTGGTAAATTTAAAATATTTTTTAAATTTAAACAATTTTTTTCTGTTTTTTTGACTTGTGTGTGTGTGAAATTTTGCAACCGATAAACTTATACCATTTTACAAATCTAATATGCCTTGTTATTTACTAGTTATACAAGTATGCAAACTACATTATTACTTTTGCCCAATTTCATTATCACCGTTTCGTTTGAATACAGTTAGTAGGAGAGAAAGATGTGGCTTGCTACAAAAGAACCGCTTTGCTAGTCTTATATTATTTAAGCAAAGAGACAGAATATATGACTGAAAGAGTGGTACATTCAGATGCGTGGATACACGTTCCCGGTACATTCACCCTGTTCGAATGCATACTAAACTGTGTGAACTATTTTTTTTAATAGAACAGTATATTGTAAAGGTTACTGACTTACAAAATTTCGTTATATCACTGTAAAATCGTATAGGAATGCAGTAAAGTTTCGAGTTCATAGTCAACCGTGTGGCTACAATGAAGTTTACGACCACTCGTCAGTTTGCACAAGTGTTTTGGTATCAAACGAAAGTCTTTTGCGTCATACTTTCATTTACCAATACTCGTATAAACTAAACAATACTCACATTAAACAAAAAAAAATTGTAAATTGTTCATTTCAATTTTGCTTGTAAAACTTTAGGTTCCTTGTCGGACAGTGCTTTTTAGATTAGAAAAATTCACTATTACATTATGCAGAAAATCGCTTTTCTTTTTATAGCTTTCATTATCTTGGAAGTCTCGTTGGGTAATTTGTGTTTTTATACTATTTATACTACTTCATTTTTTAAATGATTATACAAAATTAACAATATAGTGTTTTAAACAATGTACTGATTGATGTTAATTACATTAATTAGTAAATGATTTGTACATACTTTCCTTACAAACTTATGCTTGTAAGTATGAATTTATATTAATACTTAATTCTGTTATGTTAATTTAGTCACACGAGGTCTGCCATATCCGGGTTAGTAACAACTAACAATATTAACGGACGTTATATTATATATTAGGAGGAAGAGTGGCCGAGTGGGTAAAGCGGCAGTGTGTTAGCGCTCACTGTTAAATGATGACCACGTCATCAATTTGATCATTTCAAAAACGACACAAGTCATAAAATAGAAATTTTACACTAGCCACAAAATAATTCATAACTTTATAACTAGTTTTTGCAGTGATTCTAATTTCGTGTACACAATATTTGTATTAAACATGAGTTTGACCAATTTAATTTTTACACAAAATATGGAACTAAGTATATAATTAACAAAAAGTCATTTTTTAAAAATCGGTGACTTATGTTGTTTTTTTAATGACTGATTCAAATGTTTAAAACATTTATTTTTACTGTTAAATGATTACCACGTCATCAATATATGATATATTTTTAAAAATAAATGGGGGCAGTGCTTCCGGTGACTTGAGACCGACGACTAAACAATTAAATAAGTAAAAAAAAAAAATGGAAATAATATTCAATTGTAAAAATTAAATAAATATAAAGACACTAGACAAGAGTATTCGGTGTCGCTGTCCGTTTTCCCAGGTTTAAATTCGTACCATCTTTTTGTCTTACGGCATTACCCTATTGTAATGTTAAAACCAGCAAAAAGTTTTGTTACATATTATGTTTATTATGAAAATTGATTTATGCAAACACTGCACTAAAATACTTTAAAGCGAATAACACAAAATTGTTATTAAAATTACAAGTAACGTTGTTTTTTTTCAAAATATTTTAATGACAATTTCAAGTTAGCAAAAAAAATTTATTTTGTATAATTTATTGAATTAGGTTCAGATAATGAAGATTCGGCGCTGCCAAGTGGCGTAAAAGGTCCGTACATAGACTATAGTTAGTAGTTACCTAATGTAGACATAAATTATTACATTACTAAAATTTACTTTATTTTACATACTATTTCATCAGTTCTTATACTTATCATTTCCCCTCTTTTTTTCACGTGAATTTCGTCGAACCTTTTTCTAACACTAGTTCAAACAACCAGCAAACACATCAGAGACGCTAATAATCTACCTAAAACTCTATACAATTTTAAGTTGTAAATTTTATGTGTACAATGAATTTGTATTAATACTAAAGATTGTTATTTATATTTAGATCCGCAAGGTGCGTCAAGCTCACAAGGTAAGTAACAACTATCAATTCAAGGCACGTTATACATTTTACTTAATCTTAGCGTTGATGCAGAGTGAAATTATAAAATCTAAAAATTATATTAACACATCTAACATAGTATATACTTGTTTTTAGTTTGTGACACTTGTGGGGAAGCTAATACATCAGGTATGTTTCTTATCGCCCTTTACTTTCATTCGGTTAATTTAATTGGAAAGTTCTTAATGTATAGTTATTTTTATTCGTTTGCTTAACCTTTTTCTAACGCTTTTAAGTTCAAACTATCAGCAAACACATCAGAGGCGCTAATAATCTACCTAAAACTCTATACATACCTAATTAGGTTATAACTTAAATAATTTTTTAATGCAGCTAACTTTAAGGTAGCTATATAAATGACAAAATGTCATTTAATTGATAAAAGTTAACTGAAATGTATTATAGAGTTCTTTTCTCAATTCACACACAATTTTGTTATTTATATTTAAACCCTCAAAGTGTGTTAACCTTAAAAGGTAAGTAACAACTAACAATTAAAGGCACGTTATACATATGACTTAGTCTTAGCTACGATGCGAAGAGAGGATTTATAGTTTTAAAAAAAATTGTTTCTTATGCACATTACTTTTATAATATTGCTAAACAAAAATGTTCAAATGTTGTAGAGATTATTAATGAAATGCTTAAAAACTGTATTAAAAATAACTATTAACATTTTTTTAATAGATAAATATTTTGGAAAAAACACTAACTTTATCATTTTATCAAAATATTGTCCCACATAGACCTAGAATATAAAAGTCTACAAAATTTCAATGATGAATTCTATATTTTTTTATGGAGTCCTGCACTAACGTGCTTTTAAACATATACCTAATACAATATTCATGATTTATTCAACCTATATAATTAATATTTTTACAAATACTGTTATGAAAATTTAAATTTAGTAAATATTTATTTGATTTGTAGACTTTTTCGAACTAGATGATGAGGAATTCGCTAGGCCGCGGCGATTGGATGAACGAGGTTAGTATAAATGATAATGTAGTTATTACCTAGTTATCTATTGTAGATTTTAGTAAGTGTATATTTTAAAAAATGCAGCTTTTCAAACCTAAATAGCAACGCATACATTTAATTAACTTTTGAACTGTGAACAATGTACTAAATTATTTGATTGGTGGATAACCAGATTTAAACAACTATTTTAGTTTTAGTTTTAAGTTATAGAAGTTTAATAGTTAGGATGCGTGATTGGACATTGGTGTACGCAGATAATAATCATACTACTCTCCACCTTTCCTCCTGACTTTAACTTGAAATTTCAATACTTTCCATGCACTCCTGGTTAATATTCAATTTTCTAAAACAATAGTGCTCCGTTTTTTTAAATTTTGTGTAAGATGTATGAAGTTTGCGTTCGGACCTTTCAAATTTTGTAGTGGTCTATGAGTTAAGGCACGCATGTGCTTTGTAACAAAAGTCGTCCTCTACAAACGGCAAACGTTCAATTTGCTGTTGGCTACGATTAAACTTGCGGCCATAATTATTATTTAAATTTATTTAAAATAACATATCGGTGCGCATCAACGATTATCTCACTAACCGAGTAAACTTGAATACATTATAGAGTTGTTTTCTCAATTTCCTCACAATTTTGTGTGCGACTATGAATTTATATTAATACCTAATTGTGTTACTTATATTTAGACCCACATAGCGCGTCAAGCTCACAAGGTAAGTAACTACTATCAATTAAAGGCACGTTATACATTTCACTTAGTCTTAGCTTCGATGCGGAGTGAGGATTTATAGTTTTTAAATAAATGGCTTTATTTAATAATTTATGGCCATGGTAATATCTTCTAAGCTTCTATCGTACCTAAAAAGCACTTTTTTGGGAAACATTTAAAAAGGTCACATCTTTCATATTAATGTCGGGAAAATATTCAAATTTTTCATATTCAAATCACGGGGCTCTAACACTTGTAAATAAATAGTCAAAATAGTCCATTAGAAGTATACATTTTTTTTTTTGGTAAACCAAAAATTAAAAAGGTTGAAGGCATTACTAATAAAATGCTTAAAAGTGGTATTAAAAAAATATCTATTAAATTTTTTTTTGATACATAGTAGTTTTGGGAAATGGAAAAGATAACTATTTTATCTTTTTATTAAAATATTGTCACATATTGGCCTAGAATCGATAAGTCTACAAAATTTCAATGATGATTTCTATATTTTTTTATGGAAACCCTGCACTAACGTGCTTCTAAACATATACCTAATACATTATTCATGATTTATTCAACGTATATAATTATTATTTTTCCAAATACTATTATGACAATTTAAATTTAGCAAATATTTATTTGGTTTGTAGACTTTTTCGAATTAGATGATGAGGAATTCGCTAGGCCGCGGCGATTGGATGAACGAGGTTAGTAAAAATGATAGTGTAGTTATTACCTAGTTATCTATTGTAGATTTTAGTAAGTGTATATTTTAATTAATCAAACACATACCAAGGTTACTACACATGACAAGGTTACCATATGCATTAAATTAAAATAACAAAACTAAAAATAGCTAAAGATACTTAATTTACAAATTATGGGTTTTACCATTTAAATTATGGGTTTGACCGAAAAAATTTTCCTACAAAAGTTGTTAGTTTTGATAAGAATATTTCTTTGGTTAACAAAAAATACATGGTTTCCATTTATAAAAACATGTTTTTACCGTAAGTCAGCCATTTTGAATTTTTGACCCTATTTTTTAAGTTTTTATAACGTCCTCTTTTGTATTCTAAAAGTCTCTAATAAGCAACTTTTTAATTAGATTAGTATTTTTAGAGACAAATCGATTAGTATTTTAAAATGGGACACCCTGTATAAGTGTACAAAATGTCAATGATGATTTATATATTTTTTATGGAAACCCTGCACAAATGTACTTTTAAATGAATAATACATGGTTTATGTTTTTTTAACTAATATAATTATTTTTTTTCTAAATACTTTTACAACAATTCAAATTTAGCAAACATTTATTTGATTTGCAGACATGTTCAAAATACGTGATGTATTCGACATACCGCAGCCAAAGGATGAACTAGGTTAGTATAGACCATAGAGTAGTTATTACCTTGTTATCTATTGTAGATTTTAGTAAGAGTATATTTAAAAAAATGCAGCTTTTGAAACTTAAATAGCAACGCGTACATATAATAAACTTTTCAACTGTGAACAATGTACTAAACATTTTGATTGGTGGACAACCAGATTTAAACAACTATTTTAGTTATAATTTAAGTTGTAGGAGTATAGTTTTGTGTGAGATTTAAAAAGTTCGCCTTCGGACCGGTGCCGGTTTTGAGTTAGCCGATCAAAACTTTTTAAAGTTTTTAAGTTGTTACCTTTTAAATTTTGTAGTCGTTTATGAGATAAGGCACGCATGTGCTTTGTAACAAAAGGCGTCCTCTACAAACGGCAAACAATGAATTTGCTGTTGGCTACGGTTAAACTTGTGGCCATAATAATTATTTAAATTTATTTAAAAAAATATATCGGTGCCCAATACCGATTGTGCTACTCTCCAGGTAAACTTGAATGAATTATAGAGTTCTTTTCTCAATTTCCTTACGATTTTGTATGCCACTATGAATTTATATTAATACCTAATTGTGTTACTTATATTTAGACCCAAATAGTGCGTCAAGCTCAAAAGGTAAGTAACTACTATCAATTAAAGGCACGTTATATTTTACTTAGTCTTAGCTTCGATGCGGAGTGAGGATTTATGGTTATTAAATAAATGGCTTTTTATGCCCATAATAATATCTTCTAAGCCGCTGAACCGAATTTTTTATGTAGGAAAACAATAGATCAGAAATTGTACCTAAAAAGCACTAAAAAGATCATCTCTTGCCTATTAATGTCCGGAAAACATTCAAACTTTTTATATTCAAATCACGGGCCTCTAACACTTGTAAAAAAATAGTCAATAAAGTCCATTAGAAGTACATATTTTTTTGATAAACCAAAAATTAAAAAGGCCGAAGGCATTGATAATATAATGCTTAAAAGTGGTAAATATTGATTTACATTTTTTTTGATACATAAAAGTTTTCGATAATGAAAAAGATACCTATTTTATCTTAAGTCGATAAGTCTACAAAATTTCAAGGATGATTTCTATATTTTTTTATGGAAACCCTGCACTTTTAAACATTTAACACATTATTCATGATTTTTTCAACCTATATAATTATTATTTTTTCAAATACTATTATGACAATTTAAATTTAGCAAACATTTATTTGATTTGTAGATTTTCTCCGATTAGACGTTGAGGATCTCGATAATCATCGGCGAAAGGATGAACTAGGTTAGTATAGACCATAGTGTAGTTATTACCTTGTTATCTATTGTAGACTTTAATTAGTGTATATTTAAAAAAATGCAGATTTTGAAATATGCAGCTTTTGAAACCTAAATAGCAACGCATACATTAAATTAACTTTGGAACTTTTAACAATGTACTTAATATTCCATTTTCAGAGTCAATAGTGCTCCGTTTTTTATTATTTTGATAGAAAGATGTAAACTTATTAGTATTAACTTTAATATTATTTATTATGTCATAACATTAAGGTGTCTATTTAAATGACAAAATGTATTGATAAAAGTTAA